GGTCCAGTACTTTCTCTACCACAAACTCTTCAGGTTCTGCTTCCTCAACTTTTTTACTTTTTCCATTTTGTTTCTTTCCCATTTTTTGCAATGTAGTTTTATTGGAGGCCATTTTTCTCTGCAGACTTGAAGAGTTCACCGCCTCGGACGCTCGGTCGCGGGTCCGCAGTCTCGGCCTGCGCGCCTGCAGCTCCACTCGCACCCGAGCGCCTCGTTTGTCCTTTTTCTTTAGAACTTATTCTGCATAAAAGGCCTTGTCTTTTTCTTCAACTGTATATTCACAGTGCTTGCAACAGTGCCTCAAATACATTAGCCAGTTTATAAAATTAGAATTATAGAAGTTTTTAAACATACACTAAAAATAGAAGTCTCAATATATTGTAACTTTCTGTAACATCACCTAGCCTCAATAATTATTAACAATGTACCATTTTTGTATAACCTGTTTCTTCCCATGTCTTTTTACTTGAGCATTTGTATGAAGCTGTTTTAAAAACTATGACTATTATATTACTATTCTAAAATTAACAATATGTCATTAATATTATGAATTGTCCACATATCATTAAAATTTTCCCACTTGTCATATGTTATCAATAAATACTTGTTGAATACATGATGAACAAGTGAATATAAGTATTTGATAACACACTTTCCAAACATAATCTTCTCAGAATTTTTAGGATGATTTGTACTAAGAGCCTTGGTTTTCAAAATTTAAAAGGTGAAAAATTAGTTCAACAGTTACTATTCTACATGAAGATGATTTAAGAATAAAATTCTTTGGTGGATATTTACAAGACAAATGAAAATTTAGTTTTCCATATATACTTGTACTAGGATGTTTAGAGTAGATTGATTTGACAGGCAATTGCTAACAACTCATATATATTCATCAGCTAGTGAATGGATGAAAAAAATGTATATTTGTACAACATAATGCTATGCTGCAAAGGAACAATATGCACAATGATATGAATGAATCTCAAAAAGGTTGTGTTGAAATAAAAGAAACCTGACACAAGAGTACATACTATATGGTTTCACTTATATTAAATCCTACAGAAGGCCAAACTAATCTTCAGTAAAATACTATCGAAACACTGGTTATTTGGAACAATTGACTGGAAAAAGGCATGACAAGTTTTTGGTATGATGGAAATGGTTTCAGGGATTTTGGTTACACAGGTCTATTTTTCAAAACACATGGAATTGTGTACAGTTAAGATTTGAGCACGTTTTATATAGAAATTTTATCCCTAAATTAATGAGAAAATGTTGAGGTAGATGTGAATTGGTATCTTCCATTTACTTTGAAATGCCTAAGAAAAATAAGATGACTTAACTGAAGATGGATTAATGAGATGGATATGCAGACAGACGTATGATGAAGGACACATAAGCACCTAAAAGATAAAGCAATGTAATAGTGTTAGTTGTAAAATCCAGTGTTGGTTATTTCAGGTATTCATAATTCTTCCAACTTTGATCTATGTTTAAAAATTTTGGTTTCCTATCCAAGTTCTAACCACACCTGACCCTTTTTAGCTTCCAAGATCACACAAGATTGGGTGCATTCAGGGTGGTATGATCATGTTATTTTTATACAATGGAGTATTAATCAGCTATAAAAAAGCTGAACTTGAGGCTTTTATAGGCAAATGTATGCAACCAGAGACCATACGTATAAGCGAAGTAAATCAGATCCACATGTATAAACATTGTATTGCCTCCCTGGTGTAAGAACTTGAAAGAGTAAATACAATCTGAAAGGTACA